TTCATCATGAGTCTGAGTCTTTCATCATGAGCCTGAGTCTTCATCATGTCTTCATCATGAGTCTGAGTCTTCATCATGTCTTCATCATGAGCCTGAGTCTTCATCGTGTCTTCATCATGAGCCTGAGTCTTCATCATGAGCCTGAGTCTTCATCATGTCTTCATCATGAGTCTGAGTCTTCATCATGTCTTGATCATGAGCCTGAGTCTTCATCGTGTCTTCATCATGAGCCTGAGTCTTCATCATGAGCCTGAGTCTTCATCATGTCTTCATCATGAGCCTGAGTCTTCATCATGAGCCTGAGTCTTCATCATGAGCCTGAGTCTTCATCATGTCTTCATCATGAGCCTGAGTCTTCATCATGAGTCTGAGTCTTCATCATGAGCCTGAGTCTTCATCATGTCTTCATCATGAGCCTGAGTCTTCATCATGTCTTCATCATGAGCCTGAGTCTTCATCATGTCTTCATCATGAGTTGACTCTTCATCATGTCTTCATCATGAGCCTGAGTCTTCATCATGAGCCTGAGTCTTCATCATGTCTTCATCATGAGCCTGAGTCTTCATCATGTCTTCACTTCTCATCATGTCTTCATCATGAGCCTGAGTCTTCATCATGAGTCTGAGTCTTCATCATGAGCCTGAGTCTTCATCATGAGCCTGAGTCTTCATCATGTCTTGATCATGAGCCTGAGTCTTCATCATGAGCCTGAGTCTTCATCATGTCTTCATCATGAGCCTGAGTCTTCATCATGTCTTCATCATGAGTCTGAGTCTTCATCATGTCTTGATCATGAGCCTGAGTCTTCATCGTGTCTTCATCATGAGCCTGAGTCTTCATCATGAGCCTGAGTCTTCATCATGTCTTCATCATGAGTCTGAGTCTTCATCATGTCTTGATCATGAGCCTGAGTCTTCATCATGTCTTCATCATGAGCCTGAGTCTTCATCATGAGCCTGAGTCTTCATCATGAGTCTGAGTCTTCATTATGAGTCTGAGTCTTCGTCATGTCTTCATTATGAGTCGGAGTCTTCATCATGTCTTCATCATGAGCCTGAGTCTTCATCATGAGTCTGAGTCTTCATCATGTCTTCATCATGAGCCTGAGTCTTCATCATGTCTTCATCATGAGCCTGAGTCTTCATCATGTCTTCATCATGTGTCTGAGTCTTCATCATGAGTCTGAGTCTTCATCATGTCTTCATCATGAGCCTGAGTCTTCATCATGAGTCTGAGTCTTCATCATGAGCCTGAGTCTTCATCATGTCTTCATCATGAGCCTGAGTCTTCATCATGTCTTCATCATGAGCCTGAGTCTTCATCATGTCTTCATCATGAGTTGACTCTTCATCATGTCTTCATCATGAGCCTGAGTCTTCATCATGAGCCTGAGTCTTCATCATGTCTTCATCATGAGCCTGAGTCTTCATCATGTCTTCATCATGAGTTGACTCTTCATCATGTCTTCATCATGAGCCTGAGTCTTCATCATGAGTCTGAGTCTTCATCATGAGCCTGAGTCTTCATCATGTCTTCATCATGAGTCTGAGTCTTCATCATGTCTTGATCATGAGCCTGAGTCTTCATCGTGTCTTCATCATGAGCCTGAGTCTTCATCATGAGCCTGAGTCTTCATCATGTCTTCATCATGAGTCTGAGTCTTCATCATGTCTTGATCATGAGCCTGAGTCTTCATCGTGTCTTCATCATGAGCCTGAGTCTTCATCATGAGCCTGAGTCTTCATCATGTCTTCATCATGAGCCTGAGTCTTCATCATGAGCCTGAGTCTTCATCATGAGCCTGAGTCTTCATCATGTCTTCATCATGAGCCTGAGTCTTCATCATGAGTCTGAGTCTTCATCATGAGCCTGAGTCTTCATCATGTCTTCATCATGAGCCTGAGTCTTCATCATGTCTTCATCATGAGCCTGAGTCTTCATCATGTCTTCATCATGAGTTGACTCTTCATCATGTCTTCATCATGAGCCTGAGTCTTCATCATGAGCCTGAGTCTTCATCATGTCTTCATCATGAGCCTGAGTCTTCATCATGTCTTCATCATGAGTTGACTCTTCATCATGTCTTCATCATGAGCCTGAGTCTTCATCATGAGTCTGAGTCTTCATCATGAGCCTGAGTCTTCATCATGAGCCTGAGTCTTCATCATGTCTTGATCATGAGCCTGAGTCTTCATCATGAGCCTGAGTCTTCATCATGTCTTCATCATGAGCCTGAGTCTTCATCATGTCTTCATCATGAGTCTGAGTCTTCATCATGTCTTGATCATGAGCCTGAGTCTTCATCGTGTCTTCATCATGAGCCTGAGTCTTCATCATGAGCCTGAGTCTTCATCATGTCTTCATCATGAGTCTGAGTCTTCATCATGTCTTGATCATGAGCCTGAGTCTTCATCGTGTCTTCATCATGAGCCTGAGTCTTCATCATGAGCCTGAGTCTTCATCATGTCTTCATCATGAGCCTGAGTCTTCATCATGAGCCTGAGTCTTCATCGTGTACCTACTAGGACTTTTATTGCACATTTTTACCTCAACGTTATGTATTATAAGTATTCTGATTGTGAATCGATGTGAAAACACTTCCCTGTAAACTGCACTGGAAGCAGAGTGAAGGTTTAGTGAGCTCACACACACACACACACACACACACACACACACACACACACACACACACACACACACACACACACACACACACACACACACACACACATACTAAATCTCAGGGTTGTTCATTATGACCCAAACTTGAACCATTCAGTAAGATCTTGGATCTGAGCCAGCTGTCGAGCTTCACTGACGTGTCAGGAGCAGTGAAGCTCGAGACATATTAGCATACCATTCAGAGCTTAACTTTGCACGGGATCCAGATACCTGCCACATCTGCAGATAACTCCTCTCGCTCATATCGGTTTATGGTCTGTCTTCCAAACTGTTGCATGGCAATAAAAAAGCACCTCATCCAATGTTCATTTCAGGTGATATTCATAATGTGTCCGATTCTGTTTCAATGTAATTACTGCTATATTTGACTATATTTCTTAATCTTTTTGAATGGTTTCTTAAAATAGTTTTCAATCTGTGTTTTACATTTTAGTTTTAGTAACACCAAGTCAAATTCATCGTACGTGTTAACCTACCTGGTAATACAACTGTTTCGGGGATTCACAGGCAGGGTTTCCACGGCAAGTTAAGGAAAATCACTTGGTTTAGTACGGTGCGCCGCAGAGGAAAACGTGCTGCCTCTCACCTCTGCAGCTTCAGAAACAATGCACATATATATGTTTCTGCTAATGGAGATGTTTTGGGCTCCAAACCGTAGTAAAAAACACTAATATACTTAGCCAGAAAGATGAACAGTGGAAACTAATCAGCCGCGTTTACTGTCCTTTTTCAAACACAACCCTTTAAAGTGCAATAAATACACTTTCAAAGCAAGGCATGATGGGACAGAAACTTTCCAAAAGCAAATCAACGACTGGATAAGCTCTGTCTTTTTATTTCAGAGCTTGCTGAAACAGAACAGTTTCATAAGCTCTCGACTTCACACACACACACACACACACACACACACACACACACACACACACGCACACACACACACACACAGACTCCATGTCCTCCCCTGGCTTGTCAGGGCGGCTGTATTTTGTGAAAACACCTTCGGGCTGAATGGCTGCGTCGGCTACATCGAGGAGATGTTGACATTTTTGTGGCGATCAACCATCAAACTCAGAGCGGCTGCATTCATGACCAACATCTCGTCTCTCAACACGACTTCTCTTATCTCTCACCCTCACTCTCTCTCTCTCTCTCTCTCTCCCCCTCTCCCCTTTCTCTCTCTCTCCCATTCAACCCTTTAACGTTCTCTCTGTTCCCAGGTCGGTTTCCCTTCATGCCCTCCTCTTATAATTCCCCCGACAACCGGCTCAATACATCTTAAAATGCTAAAAACAAGTGTGGATAAGGATTTGTGTGATTCTAAACTTTTCTCAAATGGCCAATGTCAAGATTCAAAGGTTTTATTGTCATTAAGCTACAGTGTAGAAATGGCAATGAAATTCTTCTGACCTGAGCTCCTCCAACGATACAAAATAAAAAGTAGTGCAAGAAGTCTATATACATGTAAATCCAAGGATCCAATGTGTTTTTAAACGGAGCAGAAATAGAACTAGTCTCCCACTTCAAGTATCTTGGAGTCAAAATGGACTCGAACTTGACTTTTAAGAAACATATTAAGAAAGTATCAAATACCATTAAATTCAACTTGCAACATGTTGAACAAATGAGACCTTTCTTAAGTGTCAAAGCTGCAGAGTCAGACCTCCACTGTGTGATTCTATCCCACATTGAATACTGTTTGACAAACTGGTCGTTTGCTTGAGCCACAAACCTGAAACCCAGAGAACAGCTGTTCAAGAGAGCTATCCAGGTGTTTGACAGAAAGCCTCATTCATACCACCACTGCACCATCCTGGAGAAACACCATTTATTAAGTTTTGACCATTTTAAGTCTTTTAAAAGTATGTGTTTTATTTATAAATGTCTACATGGACTGCCCCCCCCCTTCATCCACAGAAAACACACTGGACGCTGCACTAGGTCAGGAACCAGAGGAGACTGTGAGGTCCACCGCAGACGGACCACTTTTGGACAAAATGTCCTTCTTTGTGGAACAGCCTCCCAACTGAGATACGGGAACGTCCCACTCTCAATAGCTTCAAAGGTCAACTCAAAGAATGGTTGAGAAACAAACAGACATGCAATCGCCGCTAAATGCACTTTAGCACAGGGGTATCTCCTCTTGCACTTTAGGTAGCTCAATGTGCATTGTCCCTCTTCAAATAAACGATTTAATGAAAATGAAAAGGTTCTGTATATATCTGAGACCTATAATATTTTGATGAAAAACAGTATAATAGGGGACCTTTAAGTCCTTTTTGCCAAATATCCTCTCACCTGTAACCCTTCCCTCTCTTCAGAGACCTGAAGCTGGACAACATCCTGCTGGACGCCGAGGGTCACTGCAAGCTGGCTGACTTTGGGATGTGTAAAGAGGGAATCCTGGAGGGAGTCACCACCACCACCTTCTGTGGGACGCCTGATTACATCGCTCCTGAGGTGACCAGACACACACACACACCCACACACACACACACACACACACACACACACACACACACACACACACACACACACATGTTTCTAGTATCAGAATTTTACTCCACTACTTATTTTTCTGACGACTTTTTACTTTGACTTCTTACACTTTGAACACAAATACCTGTACTTTCTACTTCTTACATGTTGAACACAAATACCTGTACTTTCTACTTCTCACATGTTGAACACAAATACCTGTACTTTCTACTTCTTACATGTTGAACTCAAATACCTGTACTTTCTACTTCTTACATGTTGAACACAAATACCTGTACTTTCTACTTCTTACATGTTGAACACAAACACCTGTACTTTCTACTTCTTACATGTTGAACTCAAATACCTGTACTTTCTACTTCTTACATGTTGAACACAAATACCTGTACTTTCTACTTCTTACATGTTGAACACAAATACCTGTACTTTCTACTTCTTACATGTTGAACACAAATACCTGTACTTTCTACTTCTTACATGTTGAACACAAATACCTGTACTTTCTACTTCTTACATGTTGAACTCAAATACCTGTACTTTCTACTTCTTACATGTTGAACTCAAATACCTGTACTTTCTACTTCTTACATGTTGAACTCAAATACCTGTACTTTCTACTTCTTACATGTTGAACACAAATACCTGTACTTTCTACTTCTTACATGTTGAACACAAATACCTGTACTTTCTACTTCTCACATGTTGAACTCAAATACCTGTACTTTCTACTTCTTACATGTTGAACTCAAATACCTGTACTTTCTACTTCTTACATGTTGAACTCAAATACCTGTACTTTCTACTTCTCTCATGTTGAACACAAATACCTGTACTTTCTACTTCTTACATGTTGAACACAAATACCTGTACTTTCTACTTCTTACATGTTGAACACAAATACCTGTACTTTCTACTTCTTACATGTTGAACACAAATACCTGTACTTTCTACTTCTTACATGTTGAACACAAATACCTGTACTTTCTACTTCTCACATGTTGAACACAAATACCTGTACTTTCTACTTCTTACATGTTGAACACAAATACCTGTACTTTCTACTTCTTACATGTTGAACACAAATACCTGTACTTTCTACTTCTTACATGTTGAACACAAATACCTGTACTTTCTACTTCTTACATGTTGAACACAAATACCTGTACTTTCTACTTCTCACATGTTGAACACAAATACCTGTACTTTCTACTTCTTACATGTTGAACCCAAATACCTGTACTTTCTACTTCTTACATGTTGAACACAAATACCTGTACTTTCTACTTCTTACATGTTGAACACAAATACCTGTACTTTCTACTTCTCACATGTTGAACACAAATACCTGTACTTTCTACTTCTTACATGTTGAACCCAAATACCTGTACTTTCTACTTCTTACATGTTGAACACAAATACCTGTACTTTCTACTTCTTACATGTTGAACACAAATACCTGTACTTTCTACTTCTTACATGTTGAACACAAATACCTGTACTTTCTACTTCTTACATGTTGAACCCAAATACCTGTACTTTCTACTTCTTACATGTTGAACACAAATACCTGTACTTTCTACTTCTTACATGTTGAACACAAATACCTGTACTTTCTACTTCTCACATGTTGAACACAAATACCTGTACTTTCTACTTCTCACATGTTGAACACAAATACCTGTACTTTCTACTTCTTACATGTTGAACACAAATACCTGTACTTTCTACTTCTTCCATGTTGAACTCAAATACCTGTACTTTCTACTTCTTACATGTTGAACTCAAATACCTGTACTTTCTACTTCTCACATGTTGAACCCAAATACCTGTACTTTCTACTTCTTACATGTAGAACTCAAATACCTGTACTTTCTACTTCTTACATGTTGAACACAAATACCTGTACTTTCTACTTCTTCCATGTTGAACACAAATACCTGTACTTTCTACTTCTTACATGTTGAACTCAAATACCTGTACTTTCTACTTCTCACATGTTGAACACAAATACCTGTACTTTCTACTTCTCTCATGTTGAACACAAATACTTGTACTTTCTACTTCTCTCATTTTCCAAACAGCTGGTTCCTTTAGTCTGAATGTGTGTTTGATGCGTGATCATTATTCTTTAGAGTCATTGCGTGCCTATTGATTTGAACACGATCCGTGTATCCATCATTTCCTGGTCTTCTCTAAAGAAGAGGGACCAATGGAAACGTTGTCATGTTGCCGTTGTTCAGCATGGAAACATTCATTAGCTAACAATGACATTATTGTTCTATTAATATAAAGGGAGGTCAGGTACTCTTTAAAACAGCTGCTAGTTATGGGTACTTTTTACTGAAGTACACTTCAAAGCCTCTTTACTTTGACTTGAGGAAAGAAGTTTAGTCAGTACTTCTACTTTTACCAGAGTATTTTTAAACACGAGTATCTGTACTTCTACTTGAGTAACGGATGTGTATGGTGTGTTTAGATCCTCCAGGAGCTGGACTACGGGCCCTCGGTGGACTGGTGGGCTCTCGGGGTCCTGATGTACGAGATGATGGCGGGCCAGCCTCCGTTTGAAGCCGATAACGAGGACGACCTGTTCGAGTCCATCCTCCATGACGACGTCCTGTACCCCGTGTGGCTCAGCAAGGAGGCCGTGTCCATCCTCAAAGCGGTCAGTCACTAAAACACTTGTTAGTCCACTTCCTGTTGTGTCTATGTCAGCGGTTCCCAACTTTTTTCAACTCATGGTCCCCTTAAGAATCTAAAAAACGTTGACGCCCCACATTCAACCATAAACAATACGGAGGCTAAATAACGTTCTGAGAGTACTTTTTATTTTAATTCTCATGATCCATCCTCTTCGTTTTTATCTCAAAGTGCGTCATATTGTATTTAACTTAAGAAAGCCACATTTTGATAACTGTTAATATTCCTATAATTGTTATACATTGCAATACAAAATACAAACAGTTAAAAGTAGGTTGAATTGCTATCTCCGTTTTTCCTAAAACAAGCCGTGCTCTGTTTATTTCAATGTGAAAGTGCGATAAAAATAGTTTGCCACTTATCATGTTGTCAATATTGATGAAAATAATAACAGCACCAATCGTTGGAAAGGAGACTTTAACATTGAACCTTTCAAAAAATGTACTGCAGCTCTTAAAATAGACCGGGATTCTCGGACCCATTTTGTTCAACCATCTCTCGATCTGATTCCTCTTGTTCTTGCATTTCATATTTGCTCCACAACACACACATCAATCTAAACCTCCATTTAGCACAATCAAGCTGAGCCTCGCTCTGCCAACATGTCGTCAAAGTTGTGTTGTTTTCTCCTTTGTTTTGCTTCTCCATCATGCTTTCTAAGATACATTAAGCTTTCTTATAAGCATTTAAAGTCACACATTATGAAGAATTCAGGCCCTAATGGACGATACAGGTACGGATCTATAATCATAAGGACTTGTGTTCCTTCTTTGTCTCTTTATCCGCTCTCCTCTGTGTCTCAGGGTCACATGTGTGTGTGAGGAAGCTGCTTTTTTCTTTGTGTCATATGTTGATCCATGTTTCCTCCGGAGAAGGAACATTGGAACATTTCCTCTATGTTTTAATCCCTGTGTGTGTGTGTGTGTGTGTGTGTGTGTGTGTGTGTGTGTGTGTGTGTGTGTGTGTGTGTGTGTGTGTGTGTGTGTGTGTGTGTGTGTGTGTGTGGGTGTGTGTGTGTGTGTGTGTGTGTGTGTGTGTGTGTGTGTGTGTGTGTGTGTGTGTGTGTGTGTGTGTGTGTGTGTGGTCTATCATTACTATACTTGTGGGGACCTAAATCTGTTTACACAGTCACGTGTGGGGACTGGCTTCCCTTATGGGGACAAATTGGAGGTCCCCATGAGGGGAATCATTAATTTTAGGGTGAAGACTTGGTTAGGATTAGGGTAAGGGTTAGGGTAAGGGTTAGGGTTAGGCATGTGTTGGTTATGGTTAAGGTTAGGATAAGTCTCCAGGAAATGCATGTAAGTCAATGTAATGTCCCCTGAAGTGATGTATACATGGTATGTGTGTGTGTGTGTGTGTGTGTGTGTGTGTGTGTGTGTGTGTGTGTGGTGTGTGTGTGTGTGTGTGTGTGTGTGTGTGTGTGTGTGTGTGTGTGTGTGTGTGTGTGTGTGTGTGTGTGTGTGTGTGTGTGTGTGTGTGTGTGTGTGTGTTGTGTGTGTGTGTGTGTGTGTGTGTGTGTGTGTGTGTGTGTGTGTGTGTGAGAGAGACTCCATTTGGTCCGTTGGTTTATTTGTTTGTCCAGTTTTTTCCATTACAAGTCTTGGTTTACCTTGGCTACTCAATGCAAAGCTTTGTGGGAAAGTGTGTGTGTTTATGTTGGACAGTGTCTTGGACTCTGACCAGTCACTTGACCGGTCTCTCTGCGCTCTGATTGGACATGGCATGCAGCTGAAGTCACGTGACCAACTCTCTGAGCTCTCTACATGAAATTCAGTAAATCCTGCAGAAATGTGTTGAGATATAAAATAATTAGCATACAGGAGGAGTCAGAATATACAAGACAGGGATTCCTATGAATTACATATCTGAGCATAAGATACGATACGATAAGAAGTACTTTATTGATCCCAAATTGGGAAATGTTTGCGTTGCAGCAGCATAAAAAGACAAGGCATTGTAGATCAGTAGAAATTAAAAGACTAGAAATAAACAGTCCAAAATGTAAACATCTCAAAAAGAAATAAAATAGCATTAAAAAAGTAAAAAATATGCATGAGGAAAATATACATGTGGAAATACAAATGTACAGTACCAATATATAAATCAGGATATTATACATTAATAGCACAAGGAATGGATTATTAAATATTAGGTTTCTGGGAGTTTGTTCCAGATGTTTGGAGCATAATAATTGAACTTCTCCAGGTTTAGTTCTGACTCTGGGGACAGGAAGCTGACCAGTCCCTGAAGACCTGAGAGATCTGGATGGTTCATCATTTAGCAGGAGGTCAGAAATGTGTTTTGGGCCTAAACCATTCAAAGCTTTATAAACCAGCAGCAGTATTTAGAAATCAGTTATTTGACACACAGGAAGCCAGTGTAAAGACTTCAGAACAGGACTGATCCACTTTCTTAGTGTTAGTGAGGAACCAGTGTAAAAACTTCAGAACTGGACTGATCCACTTTCTTAGTGTCGGTGAGGAACCAGTGTAAAGACTTCAGAACTGGACTGATCCTCTTTCTTAGTGTCAGTGAGGAACCAGTGTAAAGACTTCAGAACTGGACTGATCCACTTTCTTAGTGTTAGTGAGGAACCAGTGTAAAGACTTCAGAACTGGACTGATCCACTTTCTTAGTGTCAGTGAGGAACCAGTGTAAAGACTTCAGAACTGGACTGATCCACTTTCTTAGTGTTAGTGAGGAACCAGTGTAAAGACTTCAGAACTGGACTGATCCTCTTTCTTAGTGTTAGTGAGGAACCAGTGTAAAGACTTCAGAACTGGACTGATCCTCTTTCTTAGTGTTAGTGAGGAACCAGTGTAAAGACTTCAGAACTGGACTGATCCACTTTCTTAGTGTCAGTGAGGAACCAGTGTAAAGACTTCAGAACTGGACTGATCCTCTTTCTTAGTGTTAGTGAGGAACCAGTGTAAAGACTTCAGAACTGGACTGATCCACTTTCTTTGTGTTAGTGAGGAACCAGTGTAAAGACCTCAGAACAGGACTGATCCACTTTCTTAGTGTCAGTGAGGAACCAGTGTAAAGACTTCAGAACTGGACTGATCCTCTTTCTTAGTGTTAGTAAGGAACCAGTGTAAAGACCTCAGAACAGGACTGATCCACTTTCTTAGTGTTAGTGAGGAACAAGTGTAAAGACCTCAGAACAGGACTGATCCACTTTCTTAGTGTCAGTGAGGAACCAGTGTAAAGACCTCAGAACAGGACTGATCCACTTTCTTAGTGTCAGTGAGGAACCAGTGTAAAGACCTCAGAACAGGACTGATCCACTTTCTTAGTGTCAGTGAGGAACCAGTGTAAAGACTTCAGAACTGGACTGATCCTCTTTCTCAGTGTTAGTGAGGAACCAGTGTAAAGACTTCAGAACTGGACTGATCCACTTTCTTAGTGTCAGTGAGGAACCAGTGTAAAGACTTCAGAACTGGACTGATCCACTTTCTTAGTGTCAGTGAGGAACCAGTGTAAAGACCTCAGAACTGGACTGATCCACTTTCTTAGTGTCAGTGAGGAACCAGTGTAAAGACTTCAGAACAGGACTGATCCACTTTCTTAGTGTCAGTGAGGAACCAGTGTAAAGACCTCAGAACAGGACTGATCCACTTTCTCAGTGTCAGAGAGGAACCAGTGTAAAGACTTCAGAACTGGACTGATCCACTTTCTTAGTGTCAGTGAGGAAGCCAGTTTAAAGACTTCAGAACTGGACTGATCCACTTTCTTAGTGTTAGAGAGGAACCAGTGTAAAGACTTCAGAACTGGACTGATCCACTTTCTTAGTGTCAGTGAGGAACCAATGTAAAGACCTCAGAACTGGACTGATCCACTTTCTTAGTGTCAGTGAGGAACCAGTGTAAAGACCTCAGAACTGGACTGATCCACTTTCTTAGTGTCAGTGAGGACTCATTTTGAAATAAAGTATTTACATTATATATATTGTTATTGTTTCTCTGTCCTTTCTCAGTTCATGACGAAGAGTCCTACTAAGCGTCTGGGCTGCGTCCCGGCTCAGGGTCTGGAGGAGGCCATCAAGATCCACGTGTTCTTCAGAGAGATCGACTGGACGCTGCTGGAGCAGAGGAAGATCAGACCTCCGTTCAAACCTCGCATCGTGAGTGCGCACACACACACACACACACACCATGTATACATCACTTCAGGGGACATTACATTGACTTACATGCATTTCCTGGAGACTTATCCTAACCTTAACCATAACCAACACATGCCTAACCCTAACCAAGTCTTCACCCTAAAATTAATGATTCCCCTTATGGGGACCTCCAATTTGTCCCCATAAGGGAGGCGAGTCCCCACACTTGACTGTGTAAACAGATTTAGGTCCCCACAAGTATAGTAATGCTAGGCCACGCACACACACACAAACACACACACACACACACACACACACACACACACACACACACACACACACCAAAAAGCTGTGCAACTGCGGAAAATGTGACTTTAAATGTGGCGAAGACTGCGAGCTAGTTCAGGCAGTCAACTCGAGCACTTATGCTGCATTCATACATAACGCCCCCTTGCCACTCTACAACCAACCAACCAGAGTCTCCTTAATACGCCGCTCTATTGAACCTGCCAGATCTCTCTCCATGCATTGCTTGCTGCTGCTATTGCTGCAGCTACCTCTACGTCGCTGCTGCTTGCTGCCCCACCACCACCCCAGCTTCCACCCCAGCTTCCACCTGTAGGCTCGGGGTTAGTTATTTAATCATCACTCATCGTGCTATGTATATCTATGGAGTGATGAGGCCCGAGCCTAGACGCCAAACTCAACTATATGCTGCTTCTAATAAACATGTTAAAGGAGCACTGAGTTGTCTGACTGAACTGCAGATAAAAAGGCAGAAAAAGGTTTGAAATCAAGCTTACAGTATACGTTGTATTTTCCTTCAAGGTGTTACAGTCAAAGAGGGCCTGTTATGCTTTTTGGGGTTCCCTGTAGTTCTATAGATTTGAGTGCATGTAAATGGTCTGCAAAGGCTAACATCCCTGTGTTCCCTCCAGAGGGAGTTTCTCAGCAGGAAAGGACTCTTTAAAGTAGACACTACTTACTAATATGACCCTGAAAATGATCGGAATATGTCCTCTTGAATTTGAAAACACTACCTCAAGACACGAAACCTGTCTCTTGTGTTCCTTCATTTCCAGAAAACCAAAAGGGATGTGAATAACTTTGACCAGGACTTTACTCGCGAGGAACCCAACCTGACGCCGACGGAAGAAAACATCATCAAGCAGATCAACCAAGATGAGTTCAAAGGGTTCTCCTACTTTGGAGACAAAACTGTGGACTAGACACACACACACACACACACACACACACACACACACACACACACACACACACACACACACACACACACACACACACACACACACTTCTCTCTTATCTCTTAAGATATCATATTTAAAGAAACACAGCCTCCTGAACTTTTCCAGATAATGAAGTCTCCAGGAATTATACTAGACCATCTGTATCTCTTAAAGGTTACTTGTTGTTTGTCTATTCGTGCAACTATATGCTCACGCAGCATGTGAGTGCAGACAGAAAGTAAATACGTGTGTGTGTGTGTGTGTGTGTGTGTGTGTGTGTGTGTGTGTGTGTGTGTGTGTGTGTGTGTGTGTGTGTGTGTGAGAGAGAGAGAGCAATAATGTGAGTGTAAAGGTGCATGCATGCATAGTTGCATACCTGTAGAAAGACGTTCTTGTCCTGTGTCTCCGTGTTTTAAAAGAATGTTTTTGTTCCTTCAACTTGTATGTGAATAAAAAAAAAATGGAACCAATGATTGTATTTAAAGAAAGAAAGGAAGGAGATGTCAAAATGAGTTGTAAGATGTTTTTTCCCCGGGTGAAATCACGATTGAATTCAAAGTTTTATAAATGTTTTTATTTTGAAATGTAGTATTAAAACTGTTAGGTAAAGAAGACGCACCACGAAGCGACTTCCTGACGCATTTAGAATTCTTAGTTTGGTTTTATCTCATCAAGGTTATGTGCACTGTTTTCCTTCTGTCTTCAAATGTTAGCTTGTTCCCATTCTTCACAAGCCAAATGCTACACTTAGCCGTCAGCTAAAGGACCTTTAAGACCAGATGACAGGAAGTGTTCAAATGCTCACTCATTTCTGGGTTTTAGGACTCGTTCCTGCACCACTCTGCGAACAAGCCCCTTTAACGTGTGTCTTGATGTTTGACGGGGGGACATTTTATCCAATGAAGCCAAAAACAATGAACTGAAACCTAAACATGTCAAAGGAGCCCTTTAAAATGTTTTACTGAAACTCTCTCTTCAGCAAAATGTCTCCAGATCCCTACAACCCTTCATGACCACTAACTCATTGAAATGCCCTCGTGTGTGTGTGTGTGTGTGTGTGTGTGTGTGTGTGTGTGTGTGTGTGTGTGTGTGTGTGTGTGTGTGTGTGTGTGTGTGTGTGTGTGTGTGTGTGTGTGTGTGTGTGTGTGTGTGTGTGTGTGTGTGTGTGTGTGTGTGTGTGTGTGTGTGTGTGTGTGTGTGTGTGTGTGTGTGTGTCACTGTGTTTATGGTTGGACCTACAGTCTCTGATTCCACATGAGTGTTGAGATGTACATTACACAGAGGTCAGTGTGAACACATGTGACCGTGTGTGTTCAACTGAATGCTTGTTTGCGTGTGTGTGTGTGTGTGTGTGTGTGTGTGTGTGTGTGTGTGTGTGTGTGTGTGTGTGTGTGTGTGTGTGTGTGTGTGTGTGTGTGTGTGTGTGTGTGAGAGCTCTCTTCATGTTGTCATCATGTTGTATTTTTTATTTAAATCATATTTTTGTCGTGTTGTTTTTTATTCAATTGTCTAGTTCTTGTGTTAGAAATGTTTATGAGACTCAAGTCTTTGTTAAAACACTGATATGGAGGTTAAATAAACTGTGTGTTGATGCATGTTGCAGGTCATGTTAAGAACTTATTAAACAATACAAACATCGTAAAGAAAACTTCATGTACAATACTCTAAAATACTTCTTCTCTTACGTTCTCTTTCGCCTCATCCATGCAACAGGTACACAAAAGAATACTGTAACAATAGTACATCAAGTCATAAATATTGCACACGGTTCCTTTAAAGTGCAAGTAATGGGATTACAAAAATAAATACTAGATGCGGTAGCTGTAATAAAACACACTCATGGTGGCGGCGCAGATTTAAAGAGGCCCTTTAGTGCTTGGTAAGTGGTCGACAAAACCACTCGCGCTCCTATTGGCTATCGCTCCAACACATTGTACGTGATAGTACGGTGGCCCTGAAGTGCAAGACACCACAGCATTTCACAAAACACCACAGCATTTCAGAAAACGCCGCAGCATTTCAGAAAACGCCGCAGCATTTCACAAAGTAGCATTTCACAAAACGCCACAGCATTTCACAAAACGCTACAGCATTTCACAAAACGCCACAGCATTTCAGAAAACGCCACAGCATTTCACAAAACGCCACAGCATTTCACAAAACGCTACAGCATTTCACAAAACTCAACAGCATTTCAGAAAACACCACAGCATTTCACATTGGACGGAAAGGGTATTCCTTAGGGAGAACACTTCTTGTTTGTGAATGGACAGAGCCAGCCATAGAAGCACTGCTGTGATTGGTTGTTTTTGCTGCCAGTCAAGAAATGACGCCCAACACATCAGCTGTTAGCTGTTAGCACACACTCAGAGCTCACAGCTCCTCATATCTGTTCAGAAACTGGACAAAAGTTAAACATATACAAAACACAGACTGTCTATGTCATGGCGAATACAGTCGCTGCTTTATTTATGTCTGTATGTATGACGTTGTTGTGAGTGTGGACGGAGCAGCTACAGGTTAGTTTAGCCTGATCGATCCGATTCCGATAGGATTTACATGGAGATACGCCCCGTCCCCTCTCCAGCGTCTTGTTTGAATGACAGGAGTAAACACAGAATTAATGCTTTATTAATTCATGGTTTTTAAGGGGCTTATCTCCACGTAAATACTATGGTAGACCACCCAATATTCGCATCGCTCTAATCGCTCGAGTTTCACCGCGGCTGTCAGCTGTGTTTGCTCCTGTCATTCAAACAAGAGGCGCTGGAGAGGGGGCGGGGCGTATCTCCATGTAAATTCTATGGGAGATACCAACTACAACAAAATGAACATATTTGACCGTGATTTAATTGTAATACACGTTTCAAAGTGGTGCCGAAGTAACTACATACTGATAACGGTTAGTAAAAAACATGAATTAACGCTTTGACAAATCTGCAGATAAGCTTTTAAAATGCGTGTTTTCTGAATGGAATCGGATCCATCAGGCTAAACTAACCTGTTGCTGCTCCGTCCACACTCACAACAACGTCATACAGACATAAATAAAGCAGCGACTGTATTCGCCATGACACAGACAGTCTGTGGTTTGTACATGTTTAACTTGTGTCCAGTTTCTGAACAGATATGAGGAGCTGTGAGCTCTGAGTGTGTGCTAACGGCTGATGTGTTGGGAGATATTTCGCTGTCGGGTGTTGACCAATCACGAAGCGTCATTTCTTGACTGGCAGCAAAAACAACCAATCAAAGCAGTGCTTCTCTGGCTGGCTCTGTCCAATCACAAACAAGAAGTGTTCTCCCTAAAGGAATACCCTTTCCGTCCAATGTGAAATGCTGTGGTGTTTTCTGAAATACTGTGGTGTTTTCTGAAATACTGTGGTGTTTTCTGAAATACTGTGGTGTCTTGTGAAATGCTGTGGTGTTTTCTGAAATGCTGTGGTGTTTTCTGAAATACTGTGGTGTTTTCTGAAATACTGTGGTGTTTTCTGAAATACTGTGGTGTCTTGTGAAATGCTGTGGTGTCTTGTGAAATGCTGTAGTGTTTTGTGAAATGCTGTGGTGTTTTGTGAAATGCTGTGGTGTTTTGTGAAATACTGTTGTGTTTTGTGAAATGCTGTGGTGTTTTGTGAAATGCTGTGGTGTTTTGTGAAATGCTGTGGTGTTTTGTGAAATACTGTTGTGTTTTGTGAAATGCTGTGGTGTTTTGTGAAATACTGTTGTGTTTTGTGAAATGCTGTAGCGTTTTGTGAAATGCTGTAGTGTTTTCTGAAATACTGTGGTGTCTTGCACTTCAGGGCCACCGTATGATAGGCTAAGGGGTGGGACATTTCTAAGCTGGTTGACCAATCACAACAGAGCCGGCCAGCTAACCAATCAGAGCAGACTGGGCTCTGGTTTCAGACAGAGGGTGAAAAGAGGTGCTGCAGCACAGACAGTATGAGAAGAATAAAGAGCTTGTTGAACATTAAAGCGTGGAGACATGAAGAGACACTACATACTGATATACACCTGAACATCAGCAGGAGAGGACTCTTTAAAGTAGAGACACTACATACTGATATACACCTGAACATCAGCAGGAGAGGACTCTTTAAAGTAGAGACACTACATACTGATATACACCTGACCATCAGCAGGAGAGGACTCTTTAAAGTAGAGACACTACATACTGATATACACCTGAACATCAGCAGGAGAGGACTCTTTAAAGTAGAGACACTACATACTGATACACACCTGAACATCAGCAGGAGAGGACTCTTTAAAGTAGAGACACTACATACTGATATATACCTGAACATCAGCAGGAGAGGACTCTTTAAAGTAGAGACACTACATACTGATATATACCTGAACATCAGCAGGAGAGGACTCTTTAAAGTAGAGACACTACATACTGATATACACCTGAACATCAGCAGGAGAGGACTCTTTAAAGTAGAGACACTACATACTGATATACACCTGAGCATCAGCAGGAGAGGACTCTTTAAAGTAGAGACACTACATACTGATATACACCTGAGCATCAGCAGGAGAGGACTCTTTAAAGTAGAGACACTACATACTGATATACACCTGAACATCAGCAGGAGAGGACTCTTTAAAGTAGAGACACTACATACTGATATACACCTGAACATCAGCAGGAGAGGACTCTTTAAAGTAGAGACACTACATACTGATATACACCTGAACATCAGCAGGAGAGGACTCTTTAAAGTAGAGACACTACATACTGATATGATCCTAATATTTGCATAAAGGGCCTCTTCAATTTAGTTCTTCCAAAACTCCACGTTTCCGCTCTCTATCACGTCTTTTCTCTTAATGTGTTTCCTCCTTTGTCGTTTATTTTAAAATGTTTGTCCGTCTTCGACCCACAAAGGATTTTCTCTCCTTGCTAAAATGCCAAATGCTATTTCCAAACGCCACGCCCACATTCCCTTCAGATCAATGTTTATTTAAGAGCAGACAGAAAGTCCTGTCAGAGTTTATATTTATTGGAGGTTCCTCTGAATCCTTGGAAGAAGTATTATGATTTTCATTTTCCTCGGGTCAGCAGAATGTTTGTACATGTTGTTGTTGTTGTTGTTGTTGTTGTTGTTTTTATGTATTTGTGAAGCTTTGTATGTACATGTTGCCACCTGACGTGTGTATTTTGTTGTGTTCATATGTTTTTATGTGTCGCTGCGTACTGTATTTTAAAGGATGTGTGTTTTCATTTTGGACATTAAATATCATGTCACAACGAAATGTTTATGTATTTATACTTTTCCTCTTGGGGTTTTAAAACTAAATGAACTTAAAACATTGTTTTTATTAATGTCTTGTTAACTCCTTATTAATAAACTAAGTTTGGCCATTCAATTAAGATATAGATAAGATATAGAGATTTAAAGTGCACCTATCATGCTATTTGTAGGCATATATTATGGGTCTCAGATATATACAAATATACAAAAACATGTCGATGATGTGTTTTACTCAAAATACTAACAGATCATGCATTTTAGAAATCCCTCATATCCCTCTCATAACGCGGATTGTGGAAAAGAAAGTAGAAGTACTCAGATATTGAGTAAAAGTAGAAGTACTCAGATATTGAGTAAAAGTAGAAGTACTCAGATCTTGTACTTGAGTAAAAGTAGAAGTACTCAGATGTTGTACTTGAGTAAAAGTGGAAGTACTCAGATGTTGTACTTGAGTAAAAGTAGAAGTACTCAGATGTTGTACTTGAGTAAAAGTAGAAGTACTCAGATCTTGTACTTGAGTAAAAGTAGAAGTACTCAGATGTTGTACTTGAGTAAAAGTAGAAGTACTCAGATGTTGTACTTGAGTAAAAGTAGAAGTACTCAGATCTTGTACTTGAGTAAAAGTAGAAGTACTCAGATGTTGTACTTGAGTAAAAGTAGAAGTACTCAGATCTTGTACTTGAGTAAAAGTAGAAGTACTCAGATGTTGTACTTGAGTAAAAGTAGAAGTACTCAGATCTTGTACTTGAGTAAAAGTGGAAGTACTCAGATGTTGTACTTGAGTAAAAGTAGAAGTACTCAGATCTTGTACTTGAGTAAAAGTAGAAGTACTCAGATATTGAGTAAAAGCAGAAGTACTCAGGTCTTGTACTTGAGTAAAAGTGGAAGTACTCAGATATTGTATTGAGTAAAAGTAGAAGTACTCAGATATTGTATTGAGTAAAAGTAGAAGTATTCAGATATTGAGTAAAAGCAGAAGTACTCAGGTCTTGTACTTGAGTAAAAGTGGAAGTACTCAGATATTGTATTGAGTAAAAGTAGAAGTACTCAGATATTGTATTGAGTAAAAGTAGAAGTATTCAGATATTGAGTAAAAGCAGAAGTACTCAGGTCTTGTACTTGAGTAAAAGTGGAAGTACTCAGATATTGTATTGAGTAAAAGTAGAAGTACTCAGATATTGTACTTGAGTAAACGTAGAAGTACTCAGATATTGTACTTGAGTAAAAGCAGAAGTATACAGATATTGTATTTGTGTAAAATTAGAAGTACTCAGTTATTGTACTTGACTAAAAGTAGAAGTACTCAGATCTTGTACTTGAGTAAAAGTAGAAGTACTCAGATATTGTACTTGAGTAAACGTAGAAGTACTCAGATATTGTACTTGAGTAAAAGCAGAAGTATACAGATATTGTATTTGTGTAAAATTAGAAGTACTCAGTTATTGTACTTGACTAAAAGTAGAAGTACTCAGATCTTGTACTTGAGTAAAAGTAGAAGTACTCAGATATTGAGTAAAAACGGAAGTACTCAGATATTGTACTTGACTAAAAGTGGAAGTACTCAGATCTTGTACTTGAGTAAAAGTAGAAGTACTCAGATCTTGTACTTGAGTAAAAGTGGAAGTACTCAGATGTTGTACTTGAGTAAAAGTAGAAGTACTCAGATCTTGTACTTGAGTAAAAGTAGAAGTACTCAGATATTGAGTAAAAGCAGAAGTATTCAGATATTGAGTAAAAGCAGAAGTACTCAGTTATTGTACTTGAGTAAAAGTAGAAGTACTCAGATCTTGTACTTGAGTAAAAGTAGAAGTACTCAGATATTGTACTTGAGTAAACGTAGAAGTACTCAGATATTGTACTTGAGTAAAAGCAGAAGTACTCATCGTTACTCATACTTATACACTTTCACATTAAAAGGTATCAGTATATTCATTATTAATAAGTAATAAGTAATATTGTACGTTTTTCAGTAAGAAGTAGAAAAACTCAGGTGTAAAAATATTCTGTTACAAAGTCCTGCATCCAAGTACAAAAGTTTCAGAATCAAATTTTACTTCAGGTACCAAAAGTAAAAGTACTCATTATCACTTTCAGTATTTTTTTAGTTAAAAAGTGTATCACGTGTTTTATAATACAAAAGTATTTGTATTTTATTTATTGGTACCTTTATTTAACCAGGATAGGTCTCATTGAGATTCAAAATAGTATAAAATAGTAAAGTATAAAATAACAGTAAATGAAAATACTCAAGTATGTCAAAAAAAGTACTTCGTTGCTTTCCACCTCCACACTGATTTCCGCCTCAGCTCACACCTGTTTGAGCGCAGCAGCAGGTAAGCAGCGCTCATTGGTTGACATGTGAAGGGGGCGGGACTTATCAAGGGGGGCGTCTTCCTGGGCTGTGTTTCCAGCCAATCAGCGTGCCGGGTTCAGGGCAGCAGCTCGGAGCCAGCTGAGCTGCGGGTCAGAGAGCGAGCAGATCTGCGAGTTCACACACCGGAGAGAAAGAGGAAAGTTAGCGGCAAAAACAGCCTCTAATACCCGGCCTGAGAGAGGCTTTCTGCGGGGAGAGGCGGTACAATCCTCGGCAGTGTTCTGAGACTGTACGCCCCCAATCCTCCAATAACTGTCACTTCATGGACTAATAAAACTCCTGTCACTTCAAAAACTAACTAAAGTTGGACCTACTTTTGTCTGCGGAGGGATTTACTGCACCAACATGACTGCTGATAAGGAGAAAAAGAGGTAAGAAGTCATTATTAAATGCTGTGGTGTGTGTTTAGATTCGGCCTATCTCAGACCTGTTGCTGCATGTGACTGCTGCTCCACTATTGTTGCTATAAATCACAACCACAGCCTTAAACTCACACTGGTGATGCGTTTTTAATGCACTTTGACAGGGGTTACATTCATGAGAGATGAGAGTGACAGGAGGCTTAGTTTGCAGAGTGAAATCAGGTTTTTGCAGCATTTAAAACTTACTTTAATAGCTCTTTTAAGCATTATATGTGTTGCTCATTGTGTGGTACACAGTTCAGGTTTTAGTCAGATTTGTAAGAAAAGCTGTGGTTTCTCAACATGAAGCTCTCAGTTTCCTGCAAAGCCACAAAGACCTTCACAGAGGATGCTCAGCAGACAGCAGATAATCCACAACAGGCATCGCTTTGCATTTTTCTAAACATAAATATAACTAAAAATAGAAGTATTTTCATGTAGAGTTACAAGCCTTATGTATGTAAAGCAACTCGTACAGCAATCAGTCATAAAGCAGATGAGATGAGTCAGGAAACTTCTAGAAGTGCAGTTATCTTTGAAAAGTGTGCTTTCCCGTAGAGCTGAGCTACACAGGAAAATAATCAGCAATCATTCTGAGAATCGGTTTGTCTTAAAAGTGATTTTTCTTGCAGAACAAGCAGCTTTCAGCCGATGGATTATGGGGGTTGTGTTCTTTTCTCTGTTTTATATCATATTAAAGTGATCTCTCTGGGTTCTTAGACTGATTTAAGACATCACTTTGGACATTGTTCATGTTATTTGACGTTTAATACACCAGCCACAAACCTATAGCTGCACAGGAAACTAATGAGCATTTCTTTTAACCAGCGTTAAAGTAATTTACCATGGCAGGGATAGCTATTCTCCAGTTTACATCATATTAAAGTGATTACTTTGGGTTTTTGATTAAAGACATCACCCTGTACTTTGAGTTTCCATAACGGACACTTATAGTTTTCAGTCATTTTTCTTGCAATAATTGCAGAAAAAGCAGTTTTTTTGCGTATGAATAACAGAGATGTTGTGCTCTTCTCTGTTAAATATCATATTAAAGTGATATCTATGAGTGTCAGATTGTCAAAAGGACATCTTCTTGGACTTTAAGTGGACATTTGTTCTTATTCTTTGACGTTTTATACACCAGCAAACAACCAAGAGCTGCCCCGGAAAAATAATCTGCAATTATTTTGAGTATCGGCCTTTTTTCAAAGTAATTTTTCTTACAAAAAATGGCAGAAAAGGCTGTTTTTATCCACGTAATATGGAGATGTTGGTTTATTGTATGTATCACGTGATATCCTTGGGTTTTAGACTGATTTAAGACGCATCTCCTTGGACTTCGAGTGGACATTATTTCTTATTTTCTGACATTTTATTCACCAAGCAATTGCCGTCCGTAATTTTTCATGCTTATGAAAAACAGAGACGTCGTGCTATTCTCTGTTTTCTAATATATTAAAGTGATATTTTGGGGTTTTAGACTGCCGTAAAATACATTTAAGACATCACCTTGGACTTTGAGTAACTGTAATGGACATTATTTATTATTTTCAGTCATTTTTCTTGCATAAAGCGCTGTTTCCACCCTATCAAATATGGAGGTTTTGTGCTATTTTATGTTTTTCTACCATAAAGAAGTGATATATTTAGGTTTAAGACTGACAACAGAGACATTTTAGACATAACCTTGGACTTTGAATAACTTTAATGGACATTTTTTAAACATTATTTCTGCCCGTTTTATGCAACCCTTCAGTATTGGCTGTTACATATTTGGTCATTTAATCACGAAGCCATGATATGTGTCTGCTGACGCACCAGATGATGTTTTGGTTCTGAAACCAGTTTGTCACACATTTTCAAAATGTTTAAGACACCTGGAAAAAAGAGAGTCCCTCTAGAGCAGGGGTGTCAAACTCAATTCCATCCCGGGCCACATCAGCATTATGGTTGCACTCAACGGGCCGGTTGCTCTGTGTTGCTAATGAGTGAGACACACCGGAGATCTGTGGGGTTTCTTCTCCCAGCAGACGCCTCATTCCAAAGCGATTTACAACTACGACTTTCTCCCTGGAGGAACCGAGGGCTAAGTGCCTTACTCAAGGGCACACTAGTAGTGGTGTTCCAGGCAAGATTTGAACTCGCAACCTTCCGATCATCAGCCCACCTCACTATCCATTAGACCACCAAAAACAAAAAACAAACAAAAACAAAGAAAGAAATGAGATCCATTTGTGGCGGACGATATTTAATTGTGGCGACCCGCCACCAATAAATCAATGTATGGGAAACAGTGATATTACACTGTTGGCCCCGCATTGGATTATTATCAGATCTGGAATATCTTCCTAAATAACTACGTCTGAAAGAAGAAGTCTAGGGCAAATAATTGAAAGTAAATATTCAACAATTACACCAATTGTATTGTATATTATATTCTTTGCAAGCTCTTGCGGGCCACATACAATTAGGTCGCCGGCCGGATTTGAGTTTGACACCCCTGCTCTAGAGGGAACACAGGGATGTTTCGCGTTTGAGACCATTTACATGCATTAAAACCTATATAACCCACAAAAAGCATAACGGTGCCTCTTTTAAGACACAGAAAGGTACGATAAGATAAGAAGTATATTGATCCCAATTTGGGAAATGCTTGTGTTGCAGCAGCATACAAAGACATGCTATTCAATGAAAAGAAATAAACAAGAAAGTAGAAAATATACATGTTGAATTACAAGTTTACAGTAACAAGATATAAGGCAAGTTATTATACATAAGTATGTGAGGCATGGAATATTAACGGTGATCTAACCTGTGGAAAATCCTTAATTTCATTAATCAGATGTTTAGGAAACACAGAAGGGGCTCAACATCAGGAGGAGACTCTGAGTCTGACATAACAATTCACTTTCACACCACAGTCATCTGAGTCAGCAGAGTCTCTGACGCCTGCGTGTCTGTCCAAGCCTTCAGCTATCTGTGTGTGTGTGTGTGTGTGTGTGTGTGTGTGTGTGTGTGTGTGTGTGGTGTGTGTGTGTGTGTGTGGTGTGTGTGTGTGTGTGTGTGTGTGTGTGTGTGTGTGTGTGTGTGTGTGTGTGTGTGTGTGTGTGTGTGTGTGTGTGTGGTGTGTGTGTGTGTGTGTGTGTGTGTGTGTGTGTGTGTGTGTGTGTGTGTGTGTGTGTGTGTGTGTGTGTGTGTGTGTGTGTTGTGTGTGTGTGTGTGTGTGTGTGTGTGTGTGTGTGTGTGTGTGTGGTGTGTGTGTGTGTGTGTGTGTGTGTGTGTGTGTGTGTGTGTGTGTGTGTGTGTAGATGACAAGATGAAAGAGACAAAATAAAATTGAGAGTCAAAAAGCAGCGTTTCCTCCAGCCTCGGTGCGAGCTAATCGGCCATTTTAGGAAAACCTGCAAAGTGTGTCAGGCTGCACATGAAAAGCGTCTCTGTGTGTGTGTGTGTGTGTGTGTGTGTGTGTGTGTGTGTGTGTGTGTGTGTGTGTGTGACGTGTGTGTGTGTGACTAGTTTCTGTGTCCTCATTGATGTGTTTTCTGTCAGTGTGTTTGGATTACACAGTAGCACATTGTCGCTGCTGCTGCCGCCTGGAAGTCATAATTGCTCTGATAACTTGTATGATTAATGATAGCTGCCTGACACACACGCACACACACGCACGCACACACACACGCACGCACACACACGCACACACACACGCACACACACACACACACACACGCACGCACGCACACGCACACACACACACACAGACCGTGTTTATTTGAGATGCTGCGCTTTAGATGTATTAATATAGCTCATGTTGATATAAGTTGATTAATTCGAAGGAATGTCTTTGTTTGATTGTCCTGTTTACTTTTAAAGATATTATTGGCCTGTGAGGGTTTATAAATCTATTATTAAAAACAGAGTCATAACAGCAGGAGAGCCGGCTGCCAAAACCACGAGAGAGACAGCAGAAAGGGAGGACGAGTGATAAGCATTTGGAGGTGATATCGATGAACATAAATGACTCCCGTCATCGCAGCTCTGCAGAAAACCTGTTGACTCCTTCCTGCTCTCTCACCGCGAGCCAACCCGAGACCCCAACATGTACCCAACATCCAAACACTGCAGCTACCCCTGGGGCCAAATTGTCGGGTTTGCTCCTCGCTAACCGAGGGAAATGACCCAGAAGAGCTGATTAGATTCTCTATGAGAGGAAAGGAGCTTCAATACTTCCTTTGTAATCTCCTCTAGGATACAGTGGACCATCCTTAAGGAAAGGAAAAGAAGATAATATTGTCCCACAATACCTTGCGGTCGCAACCCTGTCGTGACTCAACATTTGGCCGATTGTTTTCCAACAAGTGCAGATCTTGTAGGATACGGTGCTTATTCAGCATTTCACAACTTATGCTGAGCTTGCCTGGAAGTGCTTTTACGTTTTCAACCCTTTTTTTATGTCGTAGAACAAAACGTTAAAATGTGTGTGTCTCCATGGAGAGAGAAGTGGTCTCAGTGTGTCCAAAAGCATACACTTGTGTCATATTAAACTCGAGGTGTCTGGGAAACCTCTCTGTTATTTGTGTCTCACTCCTCATATCACATGTTCTGACCCTCGCCTCCCCACTGTGCTGTCCCCCCTCTCCCCCCTCCTCTCTTTTTGCCTCCATGTTTGAGGTCAGTACTGTACACTCCCCCTCTCTCCCCTCCTTCAGAACACTGTCTCCTCGCCACTTCCTGTTTCCTGTCGGCCAGCTCCCCTTCTTCCTCTTCCTCTTCCTCTGCTACTGTCACCTGGCGGAGATCCAGACCCCTCCCAGAATCCTTCAGGGCGACCATAAAGAGTTTGTAGCTCCCTAAAGCAAGGTCAAGTTGACTGAGGGATGCACGATGTACCTTTTTGCACCCTGGGTTGTTAGGAGTGAGTGAAAAACAGAGCATCGTTAGAAAACAGCACTTTAATTGTACCTTTAAGTCGT